AGAACATAGATCTGAGGTGTACGTTTGCGAAGTGCATCTACGAATTGATAAAGGGAATGGCAGCAAGCAAAAATCCCCTTTTATGGTAAGAATTCAAGTACTGTACGCGTACGTGCCCAAAACTTACCTCGACGATTTTATCTTAAGCTCCCTTACATGGGTGGCACCCATTCACTTGAATGTAATCAAATTGCTTGAAACATTTGGTTGTGGTGCATTACACGGGATATTTGGCTATCTGCTGCACATTTGCCAGGTAAGCGGAATACTGCGGCTGATAAAGCTTCGAGACATTTTCATGATAATACAGAATGGAAGCTTGATCCCAACATTTATGTGTCAATCACACAAGCCCTGGGGACCCCATCTATTGATCTTTTTGCATCCAGGCTTAATTTTCACACTAAGCCTTACATAGCTTGGCACCCTGACCCTGGTGCAGTAGCTATAGATGCCTTTTCTGGTGACCGGGGAGCACACCAATTTTATGCTTTTCCTCCCTTTAATCTTATTGATAGGGTTCTTCAGAAAGTGGAAAACGACCAAGCCTCAGGGATACTTATTGTGCCACAATGGACAACACAACCATGGTTTCCAGTTTTGATGCGTCTTCTTGTTCAGGAGCCTCTAATTCTTCCTCAAGGAAAGAAACTACTTCAGTTGCCATACAGACCCAGTGCTATTCACCCACTCTACCACAAGTTGACTCTGATGGCCTGCAAATTGTCTGGATGTTGTTCAGACAAAGTCAAAGACTTTCAGAGCAAGCTATTGACATTTTCATGTCATCATGGCGAGACTCAACAAAGAAACAGTACAGGACTTTCCTTGCGAGATTGCATAAGTTTTCATCTAAACGGTCTTGTGATCCCTTGCAACCGACTGTAACAGATGTTATTTAATTTTTGACTGAACTTTTTCAATCTGTACATTGAACACAGTTCGAAGTGCATTGTCGGCTGTCATTATTTTTCCTGACAATACACCTGCTAGTAGCCATCCGTTAGTGTTACCGTAATTTCCGGCCATTTACCCGCGGATAATCTGTTGATTTTGCCTTTAAACACGCGCCACTGCGGGTAATAGGGAGGTGCGGGTTATGTGATAATTTTGAAATCTACTGGCGGTTGAATTGAAGAAAATTCTCACCTACCTGCGTTTCCACCTCTCAGATGAATTTTATTTTGTTAGAGAGTGCCACAAAGCCGAACGAAAACATGATGCCGACTCGAGTTTATTTCACCCACAATTAGTTGCGCGACGAACAGATTACTATCGGCACGCGTGTAAACAAAACTTTTGATGGTCACAAAAATAAACCGAGGAGAACCGGCGCATCAGCAACAAATTTCCAGTCAACACTAGCTTCAGCTGAAGAGAATTTTCCCGTTTTAAGGGACTTCTTAGGCCCAGTAGAACCAGAGATATCGATTTTTTTGAGAAATCAACATGGCGCTGAACGATCGTTCGCACAAAATGTGGCCACGAATTCGCATTCTGTCAAGTATGCAACGTTGTGAATTGTAGAGCACATTTGTACAAATTTCCTTTGTTTTTAAGGAGCGGGTTATCCACCAGTGCGGGTAATCTGTTGACTTATTTTTTTCGCTGCATGCAATAATCGGCCGGTGCGGGTAATCGACCGTGCGGGTAAATGGCCGGAAATTACGGTAGATTTATGAAAGGAGTGTTTAAGGAGAGACCCTCTTTACCAAAGTACAAAAGTACTTGGGACGTTAATGTTGTGTTAGAGTCTTTACGCAAACTTCTGCATGTTCGAAAATTATCATTGAAGGAGCTCTCTTGTAAGCTCACCATACTGTTAATGTTATTGTCAGGTCAGCGGCTTCAAATTATACACCTGCTAGATATTCGGTACATGACTGTAACGGAGTCAAACTGTTCATTTTCTATTTCAAGACCAGTAAAACAGACACGACCTGGTACACATGTACACGACCTTGTTTTCCAGGCATATTGTAAGGATTCTGGACACTGTATTGTAGAGTGCCTGCAGGAGTATGTCAGTCGTACGAAACCTCTTAGAGGAGAAGAAACACAACTCATAAGTTTTGTCAAGCCACATAAGGCAGTTTCTAAAGATACCACTGCAAGATGGGTTAGGTGCGCTTTAGCAAATGCTGGTATAGATACAAACCAGTTTGGAGCCCACAGCACTCGCTCAGCCTCAACTTCGGCTGCAAAGAGGTCTGGTTTGGAACTGACCACCATCATGAAAGCTGCGGGATGGTCTAATGCATCTAATTTTCCTCGGTTTTATAACAAACCCATTGAACGTAGTCCAGATGCTAATTTAGGTCAGGTAGTTCTATCAAGTGTTTCACACTAAAGTTTGTATACAAATTTTGAGCAGTCACATTGCACTTTGACATGTCTATTGTTATTACATTATATTGGTTGTTTGAGATTTTTGTCTCGTAATCACATTGCTTTAACTCTCACGTGGTCCCGTAGTGACGTCAGCAATGGTGAGGGAGAATCAAAAATTAAACGAGCTTACCTGTAAGTGAAGTTTGATAGTGATTCTCCTGAGCCATAGCGTAGGAACGAAGGGATCACGTACCCACCCATTCAGGTGATGTCTGAGTCATTGGCTCCTTATCCCTACCCCTTTAGGGTCGGTGTTTTCTCGACAACCTTAAAAAATTGAAGGCAAGCTTGCTCGCGCAATCTCACGTGATCCCTTCGTTCCTACGCAATGGCTCAGGAGAATCACAATCAAACTTCACTTACAGGTAAGCTCGTTTAATTTTTGATTATTTTTCTTTTAGCGCAAAAAGGGGGGACGGGGGCCCTACCAGCCCCTCGCGGTCCCTGTATAAGGAGGACCCAAAATATATTTAAGCCCAAGAACATGAACTGTATTTAAACATCTCTTTGGAGTGCCGTTGAGAAATAAAACTTTAAACAATGACAACAAAACAGTCTGAATAGTCACACAAGCATACCAGCGGGCTAAAATACATTTCAGTCCGCCAAAGTCTCCATTCTAACGTGCTTAATAACCCTTGCCTGACAGCTTGGGTTAGTCGAGCTAACATTAGGGACTTAAAGCAAACCACGACGGCTACGGCAACGAGAACGTGGAAAAACAATAGATCTAATCGACAGAATAATAGCCCAGCACGTGCATTTTGAAACTTTGTACATTTCTTAGCCGTCCTTGGCAAAACAACAACTTGAAATCACCAAAATTTGCGTCGTCTGCGAACCGAAACCGCGGCGGCAAATTATTTTAATTTACATTTGGAACTCAACGCTACTTTTATGCGTTATGTTGAGTTTGAGGTCTGGCGCCCTATGAGACGGCAAACACAGGCAGCCATTTTCGAAATTCTAACTAAAAGTAGAAACTCATTTTTTAATCGACGTCTTCTGTGCCGTTGCCGTCCTGACTGCTTAAAAGTCCCTATTGGGCCCCAATAGAGGACCGCGAGCATAACATCGATTATTTTCTTTATTGTTTCAGATAATTTAGGTGGCGTGCTTCCCTTGAACTTGAACACTGATTGAACTTGATTTTATTCAAAATAATGCCTCAGACACGGACAATAATTATTTCCGCGAAATCGGCTCCATCTGCCACTTGGTCACTTAGCAACGAAACTGAAAACAGCTAAAGTCAACCTACCCACGTGACCCACATCGTCCATCCCGACGATAACGTCATTTTCCCTTTTGACAGCCGGAAGTAAAGGTTCACAACCAAATATGGTAATGATAACATGCTGGTAACTTCTTGTGCCTGGTGCAAAGTGAAACCCTGGGAGCAGCTTGTTACGAATCGGTTTATTGGTGCTTTTTGGGTGAGAAGACGGTAAAGCTGTCCTACCAAAGTGTTGTAGCTCTAACTGATGGTCTCATCAACCTTAGGAAGGATGAATCTTTGCTGTATTTTGGTGTTTTTCTTTGTTATTCCTCACTGTTATCCAGACGTCTACATGCACAATCCCCGTGGAAGCAATGATCGGTTAAACGAGAGATCGGCCCAGCGAAGAAATGCTAACAGACTCTTTGATTCTCAGGTAAAGAATTGCGTTAAAGCTATCGGCTGTTGCCTTTGGAAAGCTTCAGTAAGCGTACATCCAAAAAGCTACTTAATTAACTTGGATATGCGTTGATAATTTTTTAAGAACTAAAACTCTTTGCGAATTAAGTTGAGAGCTCGTATGGTAACTAAAAAGTTGACATGGGGAAAATGTTATATGAATCAAGTGATAATAAAGTCTCAACCTACCAGGGACTTTGAAGGCGTCACTTGTATTCTAAGGGAATCAATACTTTCATTCTCGAAAAGACTTGCAGAACCCCCTGGCAATGGTAGGCTGGAAGTGATCGGGATCTGATAAGTAACTCCCCTCTTTAGCACCAATTTATTTTCTTGTAACTAAGTGAAGTGAATTCGTTCCTTTTTAAACAAAGATACCCTTATCAACTCTTTTCTCTAAACTATTTGTTGTTGGATATTGTTTTGATGTTTTTAGGGTAACTTGCTAACTGCTTCTGGGTTTAAACAAGGAAGAAGCTCTAGTTTTTAAGAAGTATAATTTATGGTTTATTTTTGGCTATTCACCACAAGCACTTGACCAAGCTTCCTGAAATAAAAACTTATTATTTCAAACTACTCAACAATAATATGGAAATTCCTAAAGTTATACCTCTTTCTAAAACTTGACAGAAATTGTCTTGGTGTCGCAACAATGTACATATAGTCCTTTGAACTAAAAGGTCTGAGTGTTATTGAAAGTCACTATAACTTTAAGAGTCTGAGGCCATAGTGTTCAAATCAGAATCTAAGGAATATAGCCTCAGCCCAAAAACCAGTCATTTTTTTTTCTCAAATATGTTTTTTTTTTTAATTTTGGAGCTGTTGACATCTTGTTATTGGGCAAAAAAGAAATGGTCTAGAGAAGATTGGTTTTTGGGATCAATAACCGTCAGGACTTGTGAGAACCTGGTCTGTTGGATTGTGTTCTTAGGCAGGACTCTTATAGTGCCTTTCAGTTTTTACCCAGGGGTATCAAAGGGTACTAACAAACTTTTAGGAAATGCAAGGACCTGCAGCCAACTGCTGGAGTGCATTTCCAGCTGGAATTACTATTACAAGCAGTACTAGCCCAGGTTTTTCCAAGGTGCATAACCCAACACGTTTGGCTATCACTTATTCGCTAGATAGGGATTTATCTGTTGGATAGCATTATCTACCCTTTTTACAACTGGCTTCTGGTGGTAATGCACTGCTGTCTTTTCACAGAATAACAATCGAGGCGGGTATAATGTTGGAGACAAGACAGATAAAGCTGCTACAAGTGCTAAGGACCAATATAATATGGTAAATGACATGTGAATTTTGAAGTAGAACATTGTCACAGTTTTACATGCAAGCAAGAAAATATAAAGATTTTTGAACTTCTGCCAGAATTTCAGCAACCCATTTTCAATCAGCAACCCATTTTCAATCATAATTGATACAAGTTGTTTTGAAGATAAAGGGGAAAGTATTACTATCACACATTGAAATTCTTCCTGCTTAGTATTGCTACTAAACTGTTTGTTTCTCTCCCCAGAAATTTTTACAGAGTGGACCCCAAAGCAAGGGGAAATCATTTCTCACATTTGAGTGGACAAATCAACATGGCTCTGGTGGAAATGACATAAACCCTCATAAGATGAACACTGATGTTGTGTTACAGTAGATGTGTCAGCTGGTACCAGGACAAGACAAACCTGATGGTGATGTGGATACTATACGCAATGGTATAAATACAAACACACCTAAGTTTACTGCTACAAATAAGAAAGATGCAGAGAAACTGAGTGAGTATAAATCACGGAAAAAGGCAAATATGGATAAGACCAGAGGACTGCATGAGTCATGGGAGTGGTATGATAAATGCAGAAGAAGGGAACGCAACGGTGGTGAGTTTTTTACTTGATTTTATCTGATCAGAAAAAAAATTCTTATAATAATTTTTTTAAGGGGTAGGCAGATGTTGCAATGCAGAGTATCAAGTTTTATGATTGGTCTCTGTTTTTATCTCTACTTTATACTTTAATTTGATGACACTGAAGCACATGATTAGAGGCAAAACCTAGTGAATTAGTTGTAATTGGTGATAGTTTTCCATCAGTGATGGCTCCTACTTTCTTTGCTTGTTTAAGTTTGTGTTTTGGAAAATTGAGCCGTCTCAGATTGTTGTAAGTATTACTTAATTACATTTTACTTTTATCAATTATCTGATCTTCATTTACCTTAGTGGATTGAGGCACAGCTTAAAGATAAGTACAGTGGCCAAGATAAGCACATAAAATGCCCATAGTGCCTGAAAAAGAGCCAACAAAAGAGTATTCCATGACTTATCTCCTAATACCATCATGTATACTCCACTTATAGACCTGAGTCAAAAATTACAGTGCACCTGTGTTGCTTAGACATCTGGATTGCTTAGATTACCACTTTGTCCTTGACAAACTAAATTATATGTCATTCACTGATTCTCTGTTATTTGTTTCTATAAAAATTTTCATGAACTTTCCTTAAATCAATTTCTCAGGTTTGTTCACAGCAGACCAAAAGCTGGCGGGTAAAGAGAGCATCTACACCAGACAGAATCCCACAGGCACACGGCGAGGATATGAGTGCCCAGAGGAGAGAGATTACTATCCATACTGGCATCCTACAGAATGGAAAGACATTGCAGTTTTAACAAGTGATCCATCCTGGTGTGAATATTACAAAAAGCACAGCTTTAATGTTGAACCCAAAGGTAAATTTTACAATAGAAATTAGAATGTGACTTCTTCAATTTCACTTTTTGAGTGTTTTTCTTTTTTTTTTTAAATAATTCCATGTTAACATAAAGTGTGGTATGTCCCTTGCACCAATCAGATTGCTGCATTGGAGTATGTATCATGCACCAATCAGGTTGCTGCACTCATGTATGTTTGATGTACCAATCAGATAGCCCCATTAGGGTATGTGTCTCGCACCAATCAAATAACAGAAGTGGGGCACTTTAACACCAGTCAGGGTGTCAGGGTACTGTCCCTCATGTCAATCATGTCATGGAATTGGTGTGTCGCAAAGTGTTGCAGTGGAACAAACATTGATGCACACTAACAACGAAATCAACAAAGGAATGTGAGCTAGTATACCCAGTGCAATGGTTAATTTCCTTTGTGAGGACTGTGTTGCTATGACTTGCCAGGGTTAGAAAGGTCAGCTGGGAATTTTTCTACCATTAAAAAGTTAAAGTGTGTTTTGGTTCTCGCTTCTTCTGTTACCATGCGCACACAGTCAGCAAAGGGTCCTAGACAAAGTCGTCTGTTGAGTGTTTGTTTTGGATGGGCTAGTTATGTAGACTCTGGTAAATTTGCACAAAGTATTTGCATAAAGCATGTTTGATCGATAAACTTGTCTTTGCCTTTTGGTTTTTTTTTCTTTTTGGCAACTGTCAAAAAGATCATCAAGTTGTATTTACTTTCTATGTGGACTGCCATTTCTATATCTGTTTCTTCACTTTACAAGTTGTCCATAATTACTTCTTTTTGAAACAGTATTTTTCCAGTAACCACTAGTTGCTGACTTTGTCACTACTGATTAGGCTTTCCCTGATAAAATGACATTTTCCAGTATACAGCCTAAATTTTACAACATAATCCTAACCCACTAAAGAAATTTTACATATTAAATAAATCCTATTGTTAATAAATTTTCCACACAACTCATATGTGCTAACAATGATATTTTCTGCCATTTAAATTTTCCTTGTGCTACCTTGGACTTTACTCCATCACTTGTCATTTCCTTGTACAACCTGCATTTGTGACCTCTCACGGGAAAACTTCCGTACGGTTAGCCGTTTTTAAACGGATAGCTGTTCACCAGCCGTTCATCMGCCGTTGGACTGGATTGGCATGCCGTTTGAACGGCTCAAGCTATCCGTTCTTGAATATTCACCATCCGTTCGAACCGTTCGAGCTATCCGTTTAAGAAACTTCATCCTCCGTTCGAATGCCTCTAGCTATCGGTTCTTGAATATTCATAATCCATTCGAACGCCTCCAGCCATCCGTTCTTGAATATTCATCATCCGTTCGAACGGTTCGAGCTATCCGTTCAAGAAAATTCATCAGCCGTTCACTTCGCACTTTGGCAACGATGGTAGAAACAATTTCGGTGTGATCGCAATCCATATCTTCTCTTGTTGAATTCTCCATTTTGTGATTGTGTGAAATGG